ATATTGTAAGTATACTCTTGTCAATCTATTAAAGAGATGAACTAAAAGATGATGCATAAACCAATGAAATCAATGTCAAAGAAAAAGTGACAAAATAAAAATAAAAAAATATGTATATTAAAAAGAAACTAGAATGGCTCATTGCCAAAAAACAAGAAAACTTGAGACTCTTGAATCTAGACCAGAAGCAAGAAAAGAGTTGACAAGAGTAAAGAAGACTTGATTCTTGTCTCAATATATACTATCTAACTAGTGGCTACGTTGTCGTATTGTCGTTCAGCTACTATATGAAAATAATGTAACTATGTACTTAATATATAATTTACTAAGTAACATGGTGAGAGCCATATTAGTAGATTTTAGTTGGTTGTAGAATATAATTTGATTATTACCTTGAAAAGAGGTTGTTTAAAAAGATTACTATAGAATTTGTATAAATTTAATTTCTTTTGATAGTAGCTTTTAAGATTGGTTTTGGTTGATAGTAACTTCTAAATATTTAGAGTCACCTTTGTTAGACATTGGTGACATTTGAAAACTTATTTTGGTTCTTTTATTTGGTATTCAAAGCATGAATTATGTAAATCTTATAAAAAAAGAATTAGAGAGGGATTCTGGTAATAAAAAGAGAGTTTAGGGTATATATATAGATGAATGGAGATGGATGATAAAAATCTCTATTCTTATTGGTCAAAAATTATGACCAATGGGCTTCAAAGAGGCTGCCTGAAATCATATTAGAGATTAGGGTTAGTTTTTCGGAGCCATTTGAACTTTGAAGACAAAGATTAGAGACCTCAAGTTTTTGGCTATGGTTTTAGTACAAATTTTGTATGATTTGGAATTTATATGAAGGAGATATAGGCATTCAAAGTTAATGTACTGATTTGGGAGCTACTATCACTCTTTTTGACATAACGCATGCATACAGAAGAAAATTGAAGATCGGAAACCGCAATTGAAGAGAGCACTTTTGCAGCTACATTTTTTATATACTATTTGCTGAATTCCAAGTTGGAATAAAGGAGATATTGGATTTTGAAGTCAGTGCATGCAATCTAAGGGTAGTAAGTAATCCAATTTACTAGTAGTTTGTGCCTTGAATTATATCTTAAGCAATTTGATAAGATTTTAGCTCAAAATTTCAAGGAATGTGTATATTCATGTTAGTAAACTTTGTACATAATTTTGATGGCATTTGAGTATTGATTTCTTGAGATATTAAGAAAATAGTGCTTAGATGCTTATAAATTAGGGTTTATAGCATCTTCTAGGATTTCTTAGATGCCAAAAGATCGAGAGTGAATTTGCAGTTGGTTTTTTTTTTCATAAAACTTAAGGATAAATTCTACCTATTCTATAAATTTGATACAAATCAAATAGTTAGATCAAGAGTTATGAATTTCTAAAGTTTAAAAAGAAAAAATCTTTCACGGAAAAAATATGCTTTGAAGGGATTTTGCTATATTTTGAATTTTATGCAAAATAAAGGAGTTTTGGAAGCTAAGACAAGATACATATAAAAGTTTAAGCTAAGCTCTCTATAGCTAGATACCTAGTGTATTCTCAAATAGCAAATCATGCAATACAACAATGTGGCAATGTTCTTTAGGACTTCCAATATGTGTTGACTTTGTAAGATACATGCCTTGACTTACAAGGCAAGTTTTTTTATATGTGCACCACATAGTTAGTTTGTTCTTCAAGCTATCAATATATGTGGTACATGGTTAACTTGTTGACTAAGTTTGTACCTAAAATTCAATAATGGACATCTATAAAATCAAAGCAACATCTATAAAGCTTCTAAAAAGCTTCTTTAGAAGATATTATAGAATTAACTTATTTTTATCTATTTCTATCTACTTCTACCTATTTATACAGGTAATTATTGGCTTATATGTGTATATCCATGACATTAATATATACAATCATTGGACTAGAAGCACCTTTCTCATAATGAAAATAAATTTACAATTGCAAGAAATAATTTATTGTAGATTTTATGATTGAACTTGGTTGATAAAAATTATTTTGAATAAATTGCTATGTGATGAAATTAATCATCTGCTCCTATTTGTAACAATATCACATCTAAGGCAAAGTTTGATGCATTTATTTCTATAAAATATGCCTTAAAAAACTTAATGTTATATAAGATTGACGCAGAAGTAAAAGTTGTCATCAAAGTTTCAAATAATGTTTTTTAACTTCTTTATTCTACTTAAGTTTGTCTTTATAAGTCAAACATATAAGTAAAGCTAGAATTTGAAAAAAAATCTTCCTAAAGATTTGATGGTAATTTAAAATTTTCAAAAATTATTGAAAATATTTTATTATTTATAGAATATTTTAATCCATAATAGTTTAAATTTTCTTAAAATCCATCATAAGACCATCATTTTAAATGATGTATCCTAAGAAGCCAATTTAAATTGTATAAAATACTTACTTTTTTATATTGGCATATAGTCTTGCATATCTAAGTTTTTATAATATAGAATATAAATAATTTTTATATTTTTTTATATTCTTAGAATAGATTAAAATATTATTTAAATAATAGATTAAAAAATCATTTAAAAAATCTCAAAAAATATTATTTATCAAATATTGAAAATAAGTTGGTATGCTTATGAATCTAAAAAGTATAAAATTATATTTAAAATTTCTATATTTAATTTAAAATATTCATATTTTTTTTAATCTTACGAAATTATTTATTTTTTATAAATATATATTTTTTATAGATTTTTTTAAATTTAATTAATAAAGAATTTATAATATTAAAAGAAATATATATATATATATATATATATATGTATAATGATGATCTTATTGAATCGTTGATATTCCATATACATTTTTAGTAATCTTTTTTTTTTCTTCACAAATAAAATAAGAATTCTTGCTGAAAATTTTGAATGATATGTCAAGTTTTTTGCCAAGTTCTTGTTAATATATTCTTTAAATACATCCAACTTATTTTGTAATAAGCTATAGATTGGTCGAAATGGTAGTTGAGCTTTTTCTTAAAGATCCATTGAGCAATCATAAGTACAATGCATTAGAAGAATATTTACATTTTTTTTCTCAAAAAAATCTTGATAATCTTAATATTAATTTGGAATGCCACTTGAAGTCTTTTTACTATCAAAAACGGATATAGCATAAATAACAAAAGATGATTCTTCTTATGTAGCATGCATTGAAGCTCTCATTGATACTAACAAGCATTTGTTTGTATTAGACATGACTTTTTACTTAAATAAGAGAAGTCAAGATTATGCTATATAAAAAATTAAGATTACAAAAAATTTAATCGATTTAAAAATTATAAAACTTTAGCTACAATAAACCTAAAATAATTAAATAAAAAAATCTAATAATATTAAATATCATTAAATTATTAGAATAATTAGTTTTTATATTTTAAAAAAATAATTTCATGGATAACATCTCTAAAAGAGAATAAAAAATCATGTATAACTTTTATATGTACAAGCTTAGTTTTCTTGATTAAGAATATTTTTTATTTTTTAAACAAAATCTTTGTCTATAAAAAAAGATGAAGCTCCTAAATTTAAGAAAATAGAGGCTTTATAATTTTTTATTTCTAAATAAACATCTATTATTAAGTAAGACAAAAGATTTGAGAAGAGAACAAGACTTTTACAAGGTATTGCACAAGATTACAACCATACAGTCTCTATTATAGTTTGACAAACTTATTTTCTCACACATTATCTTCTTTAGCAACCATGTTCATCAATTTTTGATTGCATTGCTTCTTTGAATCATATTGAGTAATGTATTTAGGTTATCAACAATATAAGCAAAATCCTTCTTGATAACGTTAAATCTTTTTTTGTTTAAAAGAGATTTAAAATTTATTGTATTAATTTGTATAGCTTTTGATCTTAATGAGTAAAATTTTGAAAATATAAGGGTTGTTGTTATGACTTGACTTCTTCTTCTCTATCCAAATCTCTATTCTTAGCACCTTTTAAAAAATTTATTTTTATATGCAATGACTTGAGTAATAAATCATTTTAATAAATTTACTTTTTGCATTGTTAATAATAAGTTTTTGATATTATCTTTTGATTCATATTGAAATTAATTGATAAGGGCATTGTGATTCCAATTCACAATACAAATAAGATTTTGGAATTCAACAACATATATGATAGTTGAATGTAATACTTATTGTAAAAAATAGGAAAAATGATTTAATTAGAAGATTGATCTACTTGCTTCTTTCAGCTGTACAACTGCTTAGTGTAGACATTAATCTATAAACTTTAATATTAAATAAAAAAAATTACAAAGAAGAATAATCTACTATCTTTAAAAAAACAAAAAAAAAAATATATATATATATATATATATATAATATGTGGTATTTATCTTTTATTGAAAATAAACATAATATGCTATTATACAATAATCTCGATGCATTATATAGGTTACAAATTAGATAAATTTTAGAATCTAATTTTACAAAAAAAATTATTAAAAAATAAATATAAAATCAAATTCAAGGTTTAAATTTTATTTTGGCATATTTATGATTTTTATTTTTATTTTTAAAGCTGAAATACCATTGAAGGATATTTTTAACTCACTTGATTCTAATTTATCAACTTAAAATTTTATTTCCAAACTTCAAATGAAATGTCCCGAACTTCAAATTAAGTTGAGAGGAAGAGACGAGGCTTGTATGTGATAGGAAAGAATTATTGTATTTATAGCGGCACACACACATACATGACTCAATTATTTCATTTAGTCTCCCTTAAAAGCATGGGGTGAAGACAGTTTCATCCACGCCGAGCCTCATTCATTCACCCCAAGTCTGGTCTATCCACGAATACAAACGCAGCACCGTGGGATCCATTCTCCACCGGAAACCGACGCCGCGGTCGGTGGGACGTCATCCACAGGTTAGTGACTGAGGATGGCCTCGCTTCGTCTCTAAATGGCACTGCCCCCTCTCCTTCTTCCCTCAGATCGTACCCCCCATTCCCCAATTGCTCTTGCAGGCAACCTTTGAGTGCTTCGCTTGGTTACTTGCCTCCTCCGTGTCCTTCTCCGTCACGATGGCCACCACTCTTGCAGTCATGCAGATCATCCCTGCCGCCCAGGTACTCATCTTCAACTTCGACAGTCTTATTCTTACTCGTCGCTTGGATTATAACTTCAGGTGCAGTGTTCTGGCTTGTGGGGTGGATTGGTTGTTGAAGCATAGACTTCGACGATCGGCTTTAAAGTTGCTTAGTTTTGGGGGATCTAGAGCATTGCATTGGGTTCACCTGAGTTGATTGTCGTCAGGGAAGGTGTACCTTTGTATATTTTTTCGTTGACTGGAGCTAATACAAATTGGACTAGAGCAGTCGATGATTTCGAGGTTTGGGTTGATAAGTACAGGGAAAGATGCGTGCTGCGAAGTGCTTTATGTTGCTGTGGAGTTCGTTTTAGAACGAGTTTGCTGGTAGAGAACGATTCTAGAGGGGAAATGTTGCGCGTGTGGTATGTCATGAGATTGATTGTGTTATGATGTAGCGGTGAAGCTGATGAGATGGATGTTCTGGTGGCTTCTTTCAGGGGAATTCCCCCTTGGCTTCGTCAGCCGAGTGAAGAGCACCGTGCCGAGCTCTGCATTCTTCGGATGCAAGAGCAAGGTGTCCGCTAATGGAACCTTGGGCATTGCCAATGGCAAGAGCCGTGTGGTGGCCGAGGCTGAGTCCTCCAAGACCAAGGTCGACAGGTGGGCTGGACTGGGGAACGATATCTCCGATGATCAACAGGACATCCAGCGCGGGAAGGGTATGGTGGATGCCCTCTTCCAGGGTGCTCAGGGGTTGGGTACCCAGAACGCTATTATGAGCTCGTGGGGTTACGTCAGCCAGGGTCAGAGGACGTGAGTGCTCTTCTCTCTTCATCTCTGCCGACTGAACTTTTCTGAGGGTCTTATAAACGCAAATAGCGATGGAGGAATACTGCTGTTACAGTCTAATAGTGTTTCAACATAATTGAAAGAGTTATCTCACGTGATAGAATGTATCGTACCTACAGTGGTTCCACGCAAATTGTTGTACTCTTGACAGCCCATGTTGGTGAGGTAATGATTTCTGTTTCGTTTGGAAACTGAATTAATATGAGGTGACATCGACTGCAGATACTCCATGGACAACATCAAGGATGGCCTCTACATTGCACCCGCCTTCATGGACAAGTTGGTGATCCACATCGCCAAGAACTTCATGAACTTGCCTGGGATTAAGGTGCCTCTGATCCTGGGTATCTGGGGAGGCAAGGGACAAGGTAAATCGTTCCAATGCGAACTGGTCATGTCCAAGCTCGGCATCAAGTAAGTGACCATAGCTTCAGTATGCGGGGGAAGCAAGATTTCATTTTCTTAGTTGTCATTGATGTTCTAGACAACACTAATAAGAACCTGTTTGCAAAGCCAAGAAAAATTTCTGGAAACAATTGAAGGCGAGGTAATGCTATTTGAAACAATTTAACATGATTGAGATTTGCGTGTGTGCAGCCCTATTGTGATGAGTGCCGGAGAGTTGGAGTCTGGAAACGCTGGAGAGCCAGCCAAGCTCATCAGGCAGAGGTACAGGGAGGCTGCGGACGTCATCAAGAAGGGCAAGATGTGCGCCCTCTTCATCAACGACCTGGACGCTGGTACCGGACGAATGGGAGGAACTACCCAGTACACTGTCAATAACCAGATGGTGAACGCCACCCTCATGAACATAGCGGACAACCCTACCAACGTGCAGTTGCCTAGTATCTACAACAAGGAGACCATCCCTCGTGTGCCGATTATCGTGACTGGAAACGATTTCCCCACTCTGTATGCTCCCCTCATCCGTGACGGACGTATGGAGAAGTTCTACTGGGCACCAACCCGTGAGGACCGAATCGGAGTGTGCAAGGGTATCTTTAGGCTGGATAACGTGCATGATTACGACGTGGCCAAGCTAGTGGACCAGTTTCCCGGACAGTCTATCGGTACGTTACGAATCCCAAGCACTTGCTATTTCGCTGGTTGCATTTGGAATTCTTTGTTTGCGAGTCTCTCGATCTGTGGCTTGCAGTTGATTACCAAATTGATGTGGAGAGAATTTTTTTTAAAAAAGACGCAGTTATGATGCTAACGTGACGTCGGTGTCGCTTGTTCCTCACTGGATGGGTAAATTGGTGGTGTAGATTTCTTTGGTGCCTTGAGGGCCCGTGTGTACGATGACGAGGTGAGGAAGTGGATCGCCAAGGTGGGAATCGAGAACATCGGCAGGAACCTGGTGAACTCGAAGGATGGTCCCCCAACCTTCCAGAAGCCGGCAATGACCATCGACAAGCTGATGGAGTACGGAAACTTGCTCGTCCAAGAGCAGCAGAACGTGAAACGTGTGCAATTGGCTGATAAGTATTTGTCATCCGATGCTCTTGTCGACGCGAACGCCGACGCCATCCAGCAAGGGACCTTCTACGGTAAGAAAACTGGGTGGATGGAAACCATGATGTCGAAATTCATTGTATATGGTGTGCCCTTGCGTGCCACTTCTCAACTGTATTTTTTTTTCATGCCTCCGCGTAAATCGTTTGCGAATTTTCGTGACTGACATGGATTGTACTGTCTTTTAGGATCGAGCGCGTAAGCCATGAGTATCATCAAGCTTCCGAATGGACTTAGAAATTCTTGTTGTGTACTGAATACACATTCATGTTTTGAATTAGCAAAACATCACGAAGTTGTTCTTGCACGGTTCAGATGGATGTTAGCTTAGTACACACCAGATAAGAATAGAATATATGAACTGAAACTGAAACATTCTGAGGTGCTGCTTGAAATGATGCTAAGAGGAGGTAGATGTGTAACAGAACTAGTTCATGAATTATTATAATTTTTTTCATCATGAAGTTAAAACATTTTACAACAGTTTCAAAAATCCTTTGAGCCTGAAAAAGCCACTGTCGGTGAGAACATCACATCAACAAGTCATAAACTTTTCACTAAAAATAAATGGTTCTTCTGCGCTATTTATTTCATAGTTTCGAAGTCCCCTAATGAACTAGAGCATTCTGCATGCCTAGCGGGCTTCTTGACTCGTCAGACCTAGCTTCTGTTCGCAAATTCTGCCGCTACTCTACCCTACGTTGATTAGCTTCAGTGCTCATTTATGGTGGGAACATTATTAAACCCAATCCCACACACGGAGCTTGCCTCATATTCCTAAAGTTCACTGCAATAGCGAGGCCACATATAACTTGAGGGTTTGGACAATACCGAAGTAGATCAGCAACTGTGCCAGTATCAGCTAGCCTCCACTTTATAAGAGTTTGTGCATCCATTACATGAGACCCTCCAATTTGGATTGACTTGCTCTTCCTTTCAAACAGAAATGTCATGTGACCGCCAACTTGTGTTTTGAGTGCAACAAAACGTGTGAAATAGCAGTCTATACTTCTATCGATGAAGAGATCATACAGCAAGGTAGCTGTTGAGTCCTGGGCACGATAGCCACAACCTGTCCACAGCGTGCAATTAGATAATCTGTTTGAAGTTATACTAAGGAAGCTACACGAACACTTACTACCTCACCATTACATTGTCAATAGTAACATGTAAATTCAGGGCAATATCCTGTTTCACGACAGTTTTTAACTTCTGATATACATTGATACAGGAATTACTGCACATCAGTTTTGACGCAACATTTGCATTTAAGACCATGGTGGATCTGGAAATAAAAGTTTTAAATGAAATACTCGTTACTTCATCTTACGCAGCAACCGTCTGAGGTATTTGGATTTTAGATGAACAGAATGTCATAACATCGAAGATTTTACAAATTTGTGAAACATCCAGATGCCTGGAGCATGCATCTAGGCAAAATCTTCCACCAGCAAAAGTATTCAGTGTGCCCATATTTAATGCAACCTCAGCTTCTGGTCTACCTTTGGTGCCAAAAACCTTCGCACTCATAGCAGCATATGGATGCACATACTGTACCTGTACATCACATACAGTTGGTTACAAGTATTCTTTGGCTTCATCAATGTAAAGTATGTTGACAACATGTGTTTCACGACAAGCGAAAGTAATCACCCTAAATCAACCTGAATTCAGTGATGGCCTGAAGAAATGTTCCTATCACTTCATGATTATTGAAGAAACGTCGTCTCTGATAGATGTATGATGTGGCTAAATTTGTATCTATAAAGACACCATCGTCACAAAGAGTGGTACAGAATGTAATACATTGACAGCCCCACCACAGGATCCCTCCTTCATCGAAGTCGATACTACCACCGTCACGCCTGGGCACAACACATTCAAGAAAGTTGTTGTGCCACTTATCTGCAGAGGTGATACAAATTATGTGCTAGAGGTGAGTTTCGATGGATAGAGGACTAGATTCGAGGATCAAATCTACACTGGTGTAATCCGGTCACGAGCGCACCCGACTAATTTTTTAAGTGGGTTAAGAAAGGTAACAAAACAACGATCTTCATTCATGAGGCAACGTGAGTACCTGGTTACAAAGGGTGCTGAATGTAATCTCGCACTTTCCTTGACCCTCCACCACGGTGGCACTCATTGTTCCGACTGTGATAACATGAGCTAATGTTGCTGAGGACGTAAGCTTTGTACTCCATGGGCCCAGACATGACACGGATACCGTTTGACCTCCCACGAATCCCCTGTAGAGTAGATCCCTAGCAGAATAGGCTACAGAAGAGAAGTATGTAGGTGGAATTCGTGGAGCTGAGGCACTACTTGCATCTCCCATCGTTGTTGAATTCAGAGCCAGCGGTTGTTCCGCACTCAATAAGTCAAGACTCGTCACCTCTACGATTCTGGAAATGCAATCTCAGTTTGTAGATGCCTGAAAACTGGCTCTTCAAGTCTACGACGTACGCCTTGCTTGTTCCTCTGCACAAGGATAAATACTGCGAGTTGCCAGGAACTGGCTCAAGCTAGCCATCCTCGTTACTGGGCCCAGAAAATGCGATGTGTATTTCTTTACTGTTCTTAAGTGCCCTTCAGTGGGAAAATCAGGACTAGCTCGAAATTCTGCTCGAACTTTCAAGGAACCCAACTCCAATAGCTGGCCCAGAAGTAAACACGATCCAACTTAAAGTTTCCTTTGCCTCCACTTTCTTTGAATCGTTTGGCATTCACCTAGCACAACTTTAGAGATGTACAAGGACCCTATGGGATGCATCCTTGACATTAACTGTTGCTTCCAAACCAAGTCTTCCAATTCATAGATACCCCAACTTCTCATTGCATGTCAAAAAAATAAAATCCGGCGGGATCACCGTAACAAATTGGTTTCATTACTTATGTGCAGGGACCCTGTGTGAGCAACCATAGCCGATGGAATGGTAAAATTATAAGCAAAAGTATCAGACTAGATGAAAGGACGTGAGAAGGCAGGAAGAATCATGAAATGCAGACGGTTGACTGAAGCTGATTCCACAGGTGGAACCCGCTGACCCACCCATTGGAGAACCATGCGAAGCAAAGAAGGCTGCAAAGTGAGAAGAGGACCGTGGTATGTGAACAGGCAGGAAGAGATGAACAAGGAAGGATGCCAAGCACATGAAAAGACAAGGGCCGAAATCCGGGGGGTTGTATTCAAGTTGTCTCTGAGCCTGTCTTAAAGCAAAACCAGTAGGCAGCTTCAAAAGTAGGATCAAAAGATGGAGAAAATCGTAGAACCCATGTCATTCCACTTGCCCAAATTCTATGATGTGTGTGTGGTTCTTAAATGTTTGATACATGTTCCAAAGAGTAATGAAACATTCAAAGGAATCTCTTAGAAATCTTTTGTGTAAATTTCTCATATGGAATTCTATATACTTTTGTTTTGGTAAAAAGAAATTGTGATTCTGTAGTAACATTGTATAATGAATAGTAGCAACAACTGTGATGAAAATACGGATTTGAGCGACTGCCAGCTGATGTGCGACAGTTACTAATGCCAAGGTAACAGAATACAGTGATTGATGTCTTGATTGGAACAAGTTTTGTAGTTTTTGAAACTTACACTTTGCTAAGAGTTAACACAAAACAAAAAGATTAATCCAAATCATCAAAGAGTTGTGTTTGAGTGTTGCATTTTAGGACGAGTGAATCACTTGTAGCTAGCTCAAGGAGCAAATTTCATGGAAGATGGCAACAATCGTAGCGAGTGATGTAGAAGATCAAACGACTGCCGACGGGGACTAGGTCTACTCTACCGGTCCACAAGTAAACAGCCTATTGAGACACACATTCTGAAATTGCCATGCGCTCTAACAGCTCCAAAATTGGCACGTCTTTTGTCTCGCAGACATGTTTTGAACATTTTTGTATGCACCAGACAAACTTGTGAGCATAAAGCCCACAGCTCTCTCCTGCCTGCACTTTTTAGACTTCATATATAACAATTCAACTCGAGCCATGAACCTTGCTAAGTCATAAAAATTACTAAGATATTCAGAAATTCTGGGAACTACTATACCTCTTCAAAGGCTCCCACATACTCATGTGCATCTAAATCCAAGAATCTTGGGCATAAAAAAATTCCTGCTAATAAAGGTTCACTACAACTGGTACGCAAGAATAGATGGGGTAACCAGACTTTAAGCCCTAGGCAGACATATTATACCCTTGAGGCTCAAAAACCTTGGTCTTTTGTGAAGGGTTGCTTCTTATTAATTCTGCTTGGATCTATGAGAGGGAACCAGAGAGGCTCCCATCAGGTTGGATAGATTGAGAATCGATACGCACAGGAGTCTGAGTATTGAACTCCTTCCTCAGCCACTCTACTGCCATGAAACTGACCGCAGATGCAGGGACAAACCATAGTACTCGTGGCAATGCTCCTCGAAAGAACCCCTTGATCCCTTCGAGTCTCCAAATTTGTTGCCATGCGTCAAACCAGCCCTTGTATCTGATAAAAGCAAACGGTCTTCAATTAATCCAACGAGGAGAATAAGCTATATAATAGCAGTAGTTCTAGTCTAAAGCGAAGCTTGCACATAAAAGTGTTATTCCTAATTGCATCCATTGAAGCAGTAGTGCCTTGATGGATATAAGAACGCAGAGACGGAAATTAAGACTGTAACTGCACCTCAAAATGCGATTACAGCTATGCAATAAATTTGGGTGACTTACATCATTAAAAGGTGAGACATCGATACAAACACCGCACAGGTAATGCAACACTTACCTCATGTGAGAACCTTGTATTTGAAGCCTGGTCTTTAACACGTCCATAGGTGTCGTCAGAAAAGCACTTAAACCTGCACAGATAAAAATGAATAAAATGAGCTCATACAGAGAGTTGCATCCAAGTGTCCCCCACGCGTCATTAGGGCCAAACCTCCATTGGCGATTATCTTATTTGTGAGGCATTTCCAAGAACAGATAAAACTAATGACGAGGTAAAAGATTTGGCCGCATCATTACAATCTGGCTAATGTAATTGATCCAGTGAAGACTAGCAATGACTGGCATGGCATGTCGGGTGATATTAAACTTGTAGAATCTAATATGCCGTGACGTACATGTTGACATGCTCACTACTAATGCAGACACAAGATTAAGAACACCACGAGAACGTGGAAAGCATACTCAACAGTAGATGAACGTAGCGAGTTTCCAATAGTACTATCAATGTTTCAGTTCAAGTGAGAATAAAGTTCGCTATTTCACAAAAGTTAAAATACTTGAAGCCAAATACAAAATCGCATCAAACAAAAAACCACTGGTGAAACTACCTCCTGCAGTTCCACCCATCATGAGCTCCTCCAATGAGCTAAACTCGTGCTTCTGAAACTCAACTGGAGGTACGGACGAATTTCGCCGTCCAAACACTGTCGCCGCCCTCATTCCTTCATAGAGCATAATCTAAAACTCGAAAAAACATGCCATCGAACCAAAGGTAAATTTAAAGTAAGGATTGCTTCATCACTCCTGACAACACTCAAGTATACGGAAATTCAGAATGTATATTTTAAAGGGTTCGACGAAGCTCGAAGACTATAAGAAGCACCAAGTGCCAACAATAAGTTCTATTAATGCTCCAAGGGAGAAGATTGCCTCACCTGAAACCCTGCAAAGGGAACATCCCTAGCAAGGGTAGAAAAATACCTGCAAATGCAGAGGACGAAGACGAGACTTTAGAAACTACCATGTGATGCAGTAATAAATACATATCTAACTGAGTCGCAAAAACGGATTGCTATCATTAACCATTAAAGCTTAATACTCAACAACCTGAGCCAACTAAGGCAAGCACGATGCAGCTGACTTCATATAAGCTACAAATCAAGTACAAACATGAAACTCTTGATGCAAGATTTAGAGGTGTCCTGTGTGGCAAAGTTATAGTTCCAGGATTCTGTGCTAAAAGAGAGACCTTTAAATATCTTCAAGGGATGCAGAGGCGTGTGTTAGTTACCCAGCATACAGGCCTGAAAGACCCTCGTACTTCAGAATCGCTTGTCCGGCATGCCACATCCCAGGATAATACTGTAAGCTTGGGGTCACAAGTCTAGATGATGCTCCATGTCTTTGGTGCCAACCTTTGCTACTACCTTGAATCTACCATAAACAACCAAGTTAAGATAAGGAACCTACTACTGTCCACTTTAAGGGTTTAGGAGGTAGAACCTACGGTAAACCCAGATCATCAATTTGAAATAATACGGATTTGAGGCAACCGCTAATCAAAATTAATAAATAAATAAACGTTTTCTTTTATTAAAAAAAAAAACAAAACAAAACAAAACAAAATACCTGCATTCGCTGCTTGAGCACTTCACATGGAACGTACACTACTGAACCCAGGGTATCACCTAATAAAGACGGAAAAGTACATAGGCAAGAATTTTATTGAACCAACGGCAAGGATCAGCTGTAAGAAACATCAAACACTACATCCAGATCACTCTTAGAATGTATCAGCCCAAAGACCTTATTCATGGATAACCGTTACTGCAATTAAAAAACGGCAATTCAGATCTACATGTACTAGAGATTACTCTATCAAAAAACTTAAGACAGAAAGATGCATAGTTTCAAGACCATACCAACAGCACCAGCACAAAAGTGGGCCCAGGGGCCAGCCAGATTGGGGCGCTCGTCCTCCAGCCAGTCTTTCGTAGACTCAATAAATCCAAAGTATGTGGCTCCTGTTATCATTGAACCTGTCAAACCTGGTACTACACCCCTGTATAGGGCTGACCAATACCAGCAAAAGAAATAGTGAGATACAATTACTGACAAATGAAATTTGAGAATATGAAACCACAACCTACACTATGCAGTAGTTGCAAGCTCTTGAAATCTACCAGTAACTGTTTAACAATCATTGCTTGGCAGATACGATCACTAAGACGGTTCATTGTGCCGCACATGCAAATATTGATATGCTCACTCTCAGAGCCTAATACGCCTCCTCCTCCATGAGACTTTCTTACATGTCAAATTGAGCTCCCTGTTACAAGGATAAATATGGTTCTCTCATTTGAAATAGAAAAACGATAACTGACTAAAGAAGTTGATTCACTCCATTCGTTATGAGCTGAATCTTGTGCAAAGCAACATCCTCGCGTAAGGCAAGCCCACAAGGGGAACTTAAAACGAGGTTCAGTTGAGCAGGACATTTAGTAGATAATACTTGCACGAATTTTGACGTAAAATCAAATACACTCACCACGAACACCGTCCATAGCCACTATGTTTTTAAGAGCGTGCCCAATGTCGCTCTGCTTCTGCAGATCCCCATCACATCCAAATACATTTCAAGTGTCGAAATAACATAGCCAATAAATTTCCAAATGAAAATTTGACTGCACGCTGCAACCTCAGTAATCCATATATCTACATATCAACATTGAGCAATGATGGTGAATGAACCGACTACAGTAGAATGAAGATGCTACAAGAGTTCTTACATGATGCCAAGAATTTGTTACAAAATGGAAAGGTATGTTCAATGAAATTAATACTCATATGAAGTTCCGCTCCTGTACTCTTTTACATGAGCTGAAGAAAAAACATATTAAGTGAATGCGTATATGCTGTCATTCAAGAATACCTGCAAGGTGACTCCAGATTGGCCACTCTGAATGCGTGTTTTCAAAGTGTCCACTGGATGCATTAATGTCTCTCCGAACCCACTGGCCAGTGCACCCCAAGCAAACTCTCTCCATGCTGTTCATATCGCAATGGGAAAAAGAAAAAGAAAAAGAAAAGCAATTACAATGTGATACTCATTTGAATCATACCGTTCATACACAATAAAACAATATGCCCAAAAACTAAGCAAGTGCTGGAATATAAGCCACCCTAGGGTCTTGACATTAACGGCTGTTCAGAATGCGTCACATTTTTTCAGCAGTTGAGACCATACTGAATCAAAGTTATTGAATATAAAATGAGTTCGCTCCTAAAGTAACCACCACCCAGGAAATTAACCATCACTACTTGAGGTCTAGAACTTACAGAAAAAGCCTTTCGCCGACGACCTGGATGCCTGGAGCCGTGGGCTCAAATTATTTTCTTCCACCATGAGACTATGCAGTTAATTCCAAAAACCTCGTTGTAAGACTAAACCCTAATGTTAAAACTCTGAAACCTAATCATCTCTGTGCATTCTTGGACTACTCGCACCAGCAAATCTTATTTACACCGCCTAACGCCGCTAAATTTGATAAAATAAAATACTACTCCCTTAAACCCATGGAAAGGTACAGCCCATGTTTATAATCTTCGTGCACACGAAGTTATAATCACGATGAGCGTATGCATTGGCAATACATCGCCACCCTAAACTTTTCACCCTCAGCTTGCTTGTGTATGACAGTTCATAAACACTAGATTCCCAATCAGATCATGACCTAACCCCCTGGTACCCTAAGTTATTGCCAATCAACATTCTCTGTCTGCATCCCCAGCTGAAAGAACGCCACAGACTCTCCTCCCAAATGATTCATGTACCTGAATCCATGAAGAAAATGCGTGAAACCAAGAAAATGAACAAAGAATTCCCATCCCAAATTCTTGCACCTGAAGTGATCAAGCACTGTTCAAAAGAGAAGATTGACGATCCAAGGGGCTTGTACATGAGACCAAAAAGCTCCTCCCGACTCCCACACGAACAGCATCCAGAAAAACCTCAAAAATTAAAACCCCAAACCTCAAGTACTACAAATGTACAATTAAACACAATCCAGAACCAGAAGAATCCTAAACCTAAAAATCTGGCACTACAGGGCACCAGTAGCATTATCAACCCACATCGACAAGAGGAAAGAACTAAAATAACTCAGCACAGTGAGAGGATTGCAGCGGGGATAATTCAACGCTCTCAAGTCCAACACACTTCGACACTGAAGAACTCATCAATCAAAGCAAGCTGAAGCTCGAGAAAAGGGATTTGGGGAAACGTAACCCTAAAATTCAATCCAGAAAGAGGGACCCTGTGGCGTGAAGGGTGGCATGAACGATGAGCATATTGAGTGGCCCAGGGGGATGCACCCACCCAGCAGACGCCGTAGCCAAATCCAAAGTCATAGCCAAAGCATATTTGCAACCATGGCCGCTACGCCCACCTTCACCTGTTCCTACGCCCCGCTCCTATCAGAGTTCCCGTGTTCCCCACATGCCCTGCGTTCCCAGTGCCACTTCCTGGAATATTCTGTATCTTTCTTCGTTGTTTCGCCTCGAGAGTTGCCCCCTTCTCAGATTCTAGTTGGGATGTGACCCTGTTCACACGAGCGCATGAGTTATGGAAATATTTTAGAACAACTTTTAACCCATTATTTTGATATTTAGATTTTATAACTCGTGAAAAAGTCTTAGAATAAAACCTTTTTCATGTGGTTATAGTGTAGAAACCTGTGATAATTAACATGGCGTTAAGGTTACCTAGTTCAAATGTAAAAACTCATCATGTATGCAAAAAAAAAATAACAATATTACAATATTACTTGTATGCAATATTACTTCTATGAATACAACATTGATCCTTATTTTTTGCAAAATACTCCTCTTAATACATTAATAAAGCTCAGATATATCTATTTATTGAATTACATATATAATTATATTTTATATGGATTATATGTATATCAATATACATATTTTCATATTTTCATATTTAATTTTCATGTAATGTGTATTTCAAATTATTAAAGTATTCAGTATTTTTCAAAAGAAATCTATTAATGAAATCCAATACAACCATAAAGTGCATAGAACTATAAAAAAATAAAAATAAAATCATTACAATCATGTTTCAATGATATCATCCATTAAAATGCTCCAAATTTTGAAACAAAAAATTATTTTATAAACTAAAATAAAATGAGTAAAAATTAATGAATGAATAAAATCTATCTAATCTAAAAATTAAAGAAAATACATTGAAATTTCATCAAATCTTATAAAAGCATGAATTAAATCCTTAGAAATGTGATAGAGGCATTATTTTTTTAATTCACAGATATAAATATTAAACATAAAATTAAATCAATTTTGAAAGGATTATTTAAGTAATAAAAAATCTTAGAAATTTAATTTAAAACTAATGACATAAATTTTATTATATATATATATATATATATATATATGTGTGTGTGTGTGTGTGTGTGTATATATATATATATATATATATATATATATGTGTGTGTGTGTGTGTATATATATATATATATATATATGTGTGTGTGTGTGTGTATATATATATATATATATATATATGTGTGTGTATATATATATATATATATATATATGTGTGTGTATATATATATATATATATATATATACGTGTGTGTGTGTATATATATATATATATATATATATACGTGTGTGTGTATATATATATATATATATTAAAAATAAGAAATTAGAATTCTTAGAATTACATTTAAAATAAATTTTGTTTATAAACTTTCTAAATCAAAGTTTTACGTTTCATTTTTTAAAAAATACTTCTTAATATATAAAAAAATAAAAAAATAAAAAAATAAAAAATTGAAGTAAATAAATTAAAAATTTAATTTATTAATATAATGTTTTTGATATAGTAGTCTTATGTGTAATGCTTTGTTGTAAGAAAATTCAAAATAAATGCATTAATATTATAAAATTATATTACTAACTATTATATTATTATAAATTATGTTTAATACTAGACAATAAGCAACAATATCTCAGATTTTGTATTGAGGTATATTTCAAATTATGTATTGTTTAAAAATATAAGAGTTTATCTATTCAATGTGCTTATAAAATGATTTTTTTTAAAGTATTACATTCGTGAAAGATTTTAAAATATAAAATTATATATATATATATATATATATTTATATATATATTCATATACATAAAAAATAAAATATAAAAATATCATAATTATATTTTAAGATTTATAACAATATAAGAAAGATAAATATTAATAGAACATAGAATCTTATAATCTATTTTTTAAAATGTATTTTAATAATCCCTTATTGCACCATAATGCATTAAATTTTTCATAGACAAATAGCAAATCTTGCTTAAATGATAAGTATTTTTTAATTTTTGATTTTTTAAATATGCACAAATACCTTTGTTACAAAAAATAAATAAATAAATAAATAAATTCAAACGACAAATTAATCTAAAAAATTATATCTATTTAATCTTATAATATTTTAATAAAAAAAAATTAATTATGTTAAATGATAATATATGATAGAAGGTAGAATGGAAGGTGTCCACACAATAAAAAGAAGGTGTCTAGCCAGTGGTTTCCTGAGTATAATATATGATGTTTGAACACATCCAATTACTTCTAAAGGGTATAATGCATTCAGAGCATGTTTTACCACTAGAAATTATTTACAAATAATTTTAATAGGTATTCAAAAGGATTTCATTACAGATACTAATTTTTATTTTATTTTAAATCAGCTTATTGATAATAAATAATGAAGTTATAGTGTTAAGAAGTTTTTTAATATTATTATTTTTTAGAATCCTTATATTAAGTTTAAATACTAATTCAAATAAAAAATAATATTCAAAATCAAAATTAAAAAAAAAAAAAAAAAAAAATTGTGTTTGGGAATAAATTAGGAGTCTTAAATCATATAGCTCCTATTATGACTAAACATTATCTTTGTCTAAGAAGTATATTTATTTAAGTCATTGCAAATTGAATCTAAATATTTTCTTATTGAAGTAGTATATTTCATCATAATTTGGATTGATGTACTACAAATATATTTATTTTAACTAATTTTTGTATTCATCTTTTAAAATAAGTAAATCAAATAAAGTTGAATTAGTTTTGTATAAGCTTTTATCAACTTTTCATGTGATAGCTTAGAGTATTAGACATTAATGATTCAATATTTTAATCTGTACTATTGTATTCAAAACTTAAAAATTAAAAATTAAACAATAAATTTTCTTTGTAGTAAATTTAAATAAATAAAGGGGATAAAATATTAAAAAAATAAAATAATTTTTAAAAATTAGAACTTTCATATTATTTTATTGAATATATTTGGATTAGTAGTCTTAGATATATTTTTTTATTATTGATAAAAATAAATCTTACAAAAAAGCTTTCGTCTAAAATTCTACTATAACTGTCCATAGGCTTTTTACTTAGATGTTACTAAGTTTTAACCTAAATATTACTTAGAATTATTATCTCATTATTGGTAAGTTTCTTAAAGCTAACATAATTTTTTTAAAGAGGGTTCTCTATGGTTAGAGCAAAATATTCTTGTTCAAACAAAAAAAACTTGGTTGAAATTAATATCCTAGTCAAGGATATTATATTCTCTTTACAACAAGTTAGAATTTTTAATAGAAAGACAATTCAATTTTCTATTTTAAAACTTATAATAATATATCATCAAAAAAAAAAAAACAAAACAAAAACAAAAACAAAAACCTAACAAACCCAACAAACAAACAAAGTAAAATAAAATGAAAACAAAATTGCAACCTCTAAGACTAAATGACTCATGTTAAAACAATGAAAATCCATTCACTTAGTAAATAAACAGATATATATATATATATATATATATATAAGCCATTATAAGATAATATATTAGTTTAAAATTAGATAATCAAGATAAACAAAGAAAATATTTGATTATCTAATTTGATTTGCCAAGACAAACTTTAGAATATTCCAAGCAATGTCTTATCCTGGTTGAATTTGTTGTCTTGCTTCTAATCATATTAGTTTAAAAATATATTTAAGGTTGTATGTTTTGAATATCTTGTGTAATATGTTAATATTTTTAAGACCTTATGAAGCTTAAATATCTTAATTTTATATATGTTAATAAAAATAATTTTAAAAAAGTAATTCGTGCCTAAAATATTGTTCTATTTACACATAAACTACCTTTTTTTATTAAGTAATGTTTTTGGAATATTATATTAAAATTTTAAATAATAAATTTTTAAAATAATAATCATTATATTTAAAAAATTTTATTATAAAAAAATAAATGAAGAATTTAATGATTTTTTTATTAGTTTTTAAAAAGTATATATTTTTGTTTTCCATAAAATAGTTTGAGTATTGCTACTATTTTTTCTATTCTGGTATGCTACAGGGTAAATAGGTTTTGTTGTACTAATATGTTATACTTTGTAAGCATAAAATTCATAAAAATGAGAATAAAAGACTAATTATATTAAAAAAAACTGATTTTTACGTACTTTTGAATTTTTCTTCCAAATAATATTTTATTAATTTCTTACCAATAAAAAAGGTTTTTATGAAATATATTTTAATATTTTTTTGGTTTTCTTTTTCTTACATTAAGTTAAAGTTAAATTATTTGGTGGAAAATTTTCTATTTTTTTTTTTACTTTAAAGTCTTCATATAGAATGCTATATATTTAAAAAAATTTAAGCACAACATATTGTTTTTAGTTCTACAATCCTATTTTTAGACATTAGGTTGTTTTTAATAATTTTATAAAAAATTAATTTATCTTTGTATTTTTATCTAATAATATGTTTTTAGACATATATCAAGTTCTTTGTAATTTCTTTGACTTGTGTCTTATTCCTTTATTGTTTAAATGTTTGTGTGTAAAATATTAAATTTACTGTTTTAAATCTCAGATTTTTATGTGGTGTTATATTGCTATAAAAGAGTCTATAACGCTATTGTAAGCTCTAAAAAAATCAAAACACTATTTTTGTCATATGTCATAAATTTTTTTTATGTTTCTACAATGATTTATTTTTATTTGAATGAATATTGTATAAAAAGTTCAATGAGTTATTCTTTCTTCTTTTTTCTTGATATTTAGAGTTGATTCTATAACAAATTAGCCATTAAATATAAGTGTGGATTTATTTATTTTTTTGTTTTGTATTTTTTATTTTTCTTATTCAATAAAAATAGTAAATATGATTCTTCAAAATTACAATCTTAATATGTAATTTTTACTTCTATTCAATTTAGATATAATAATGATTTAATTAAAACATACACACACACACACACACATATATATATATATATATATTAGTCAATTATAAAATTTAAATGTATTATGTATTTATTTTTTAAAAAATATTTATAAAAGAGTGTGTGTGTTCAAAATAATATTAATATTTATATAGATACATACTTAGAAAATAGAATATATTTAAAATTTATTTTTTTGAAAAAACATCATATAATTTATTTTTCTATTTTCAAAATTTTTGGCACTTTATAGCTATTAGTTAAAACATAACTTCTTTGATAAAAAAATTTATTTTGAAATATCAATAAAATTTAGGTAACCACTAGGTAGACACCTCTCTTTTACTACATAAACAACTCTCCCTCTGCTATACACCCTCACATATACTTAATAAACCTCTTATTAAATTTTCTTTTAATAATGTATTTTTATGTCTAACTACTTAATGTAACTTACAATTATAACTTGACAATATATTTTAATACTACATACTATAATCTTCACTTTAGCACTCTAAATTCCTACAAATCACAATTTAATACTAAAACAAACATCAAAGATTAGTTTAGAAAGAAAATTCATGTTAGATTAGTTCAAGTTGGTCCTTGCATTCAACAAGCTATTGGAATCTATAATAGAACTGAATCACTTTCAAATACATCAACAAAATTCAAACCACTATTCAAGAGCCCTCTCACTCTACAAAAAACTTCTTCCCTATGACATCTTCTATCAAACTTAGTAAATTTTTCCTCTTGCTCTCATCATATTTAAACAATTCTTAAATACTCATTTTTGTTTTGTTTAGAGGACCACACAACCAAAATGGATTTTCAATTCTTTCAAAATACCTTAAATTGTATCATGCCTCCAAACCAACTTGTAGACATTGTCAAAAGCTGCCCTTGTATAAATCAAAAAACAACCATTATTCATGTGGAAAGATTCCAAATCCAATCCAAGCCTATCAACCAATGATTGACAAACTTTACAAAGATGAAATTGATGGTTTAGAGTGATGGAGGTGGTGGTTTAATGTGTTTTTATGGACAGTTTTGGCCAAGTCTATGTATTGGTGTAGGGGATCAAAGTGTAAAGCCCTCTCAAATTTTATATCAATCAAACTACTTTTCAAATTTTTTCTTGTGGAGCACATTAGAATCTTACTTCTCCTTTGAATTTTTTTTTTTTTTCCAAAAAAAACCCCAGATCTGATCGCCATTGCAGAGTGAGCACAGCACAGCAAAGGCGATGGTTGCCACATCCCCACGTAGATGATGCTTCACTCGATGCTAATATCATCTGCCTGGAAGCTCAACATGTGCGAAGCAGTGTTTGTGCCCAGCGCAAGAGCACCCCAGTGGCTGCCCATCTGCCTGGACAAAGTTGATCATTTCATTGCTGAACCGAAGGAATCTCTGAAATTGTTAGGGTTGGAGTTGCAGGCGAAGTAATGCGTGGAAGAGTGAGTCGCAGAGGATTGAGGTGGAGTCGTCATCCTTCGTCGTCGTCGTTGTTGTGGGGAGTGACAGGTTCCGAGGTAGTGTGACGGGCTTCGATCGCCGTGGTTGTCTTTGAGCATTGTGCAAGAGTCGTGACTTGTGTGGTGTTTAGAATGGGTGTGAGTGATCTGTCAGTAACGTTTTCAGAAGTGTCGGTAGAACTAGAGTGAGTCCGACCGGCACGTTGGCGGTACTAGGCTGCTTTGACTCTTAGGGAGATTGACAAGTGGAATTGTTGGATGTTGGATGTTGGATGCAGGTGTAGAGAGAGGCAGGTTTTTTTGTTTCGAGAAGTTGAATCGAGTGACGAATCACTTAAGTGCATTCCTTGTTTTCGGAATCGGACAGTGGGATTAGAGAGGTTCTGTGTTACCGAGGAATATGAGTTTTTCTACGAATTCTGCAGTGGCACAGCACTACACAATTCAGAGGCGTCATGGTACACCCACTACGACATTGTTGTTGTCTGTCGCGAGTAGTGCGGCCCTCCCGACGTCGCAGAAGGGCTTCCGACGAGGAGCCATGTTTACCAGGGAGGAGAAGGAAGTGAAGCCTAAATTAGTGTTCAACTGGAGGGCCCAGGCGGGTGAGCACGCGCCTGGTTCAGCATTCGAGATGGCGGAGAAAGTGGGCAAGCAGCTGTTCCAAACAATTCCTGGTTCTGGTCCTCCACCAGCAGTGAAGAGGACCTACAAGGTGACAGTGGTGGGAGTGGGGAATGTGGGCATGGCGTGCGCGCAAACCATTCTGACGCAAGATCTCTGCGATGAGCTTGCGCTGGTGGATGTTGTGGAGGAGAAGCTGAAGGGGGAGATGCTTGACCTTCAGCACGCCGCAGCATTTCTGCCAGGATCCAAGATTATGGCTGACACGGATTACAAGGTGACGGAAGGCTCTGACCTTTGCATTGTGACTGCGGGAGCTCGGCAGCGAGAGGGAGAGTCGCGTCTCGCGCTCGTGGAGAAGAACGTTACCCTGTTTAAGAATATCATTCCTCAACTTGTGAAGTATAGCCCGGATACCACGCTTCTGATCATTTCCAACCCTGTTGATGCACTCACTTACGTCGCTTACAAGCTGTCCGGGCTCCCGCCCAACCGAGTCATTGGCTCGGGAACTAACCTTGATTCCTCCCGCTTCCGCTGGTTGCTGGCAGATCACCTCCATGTTAATGCGCAGAATGTGCACGGGTACATTGTTGGAGAGCACGGCGATAGCTCAGTGCCTCTTTGGTCCAGCGTCAGTGTTGGGGGTGTCCCGTTCCTTGCTTTCCTCAAGCACAAGCAGATCGAGTATACCATCGACACGCTTACCGAGTTGCATAAGATGGTGGTGGACGGTGCCTACGAGGTGATCAAGCTCAAGGGTTACACGTCGTGGGCGATTGGTTACTCCGTCGCAAGTCTAGTGAAGAGCTTGTTGCGTGACCAGAGACGAATCCATCCCGTGTCTGTGTGCGCTCAGGGCTTCCACGGCATCGAAGACGAGGTTTACTTGAGCCTGCCAGCGGAGATTGGACGCACTGGTATCATCGGCGTCCTGGACAACCCCTTGACAGATGACGAGAGGGCACAGCTTCAGAAGTCTGCGAAGACCTTGACCGAGGTTCAAAAGCAGTTGGACATCTACTAGGGTTTTCATCGATTTAGATTTTGCTGGAATCAGAGAAACGATAACCTCCATCAATTGTTTTGGAATCGAAACGTGATGAATCCAGAGGACTCTTCCGCCATGCTGATTGTAAGCTAGCAAAGTGGATGTCAGCACCCTTGGCCGAACCCAAGTGCGTGTTGCTGGGTGCGTTACTCCAAGGTTCAATTGTACAGATCAGGGCTGTTTGTTGCATTTTCCCAATGATAGATCTGTATAGAGCCACTCGAGGCAAGATCAGAAGTCGTTTTCTGAATTATATCCATGTGTCTAGACCAACTTGTCACACGGCCAATACTAGTTCATTGTGACAATTGTTTCCTTCACTTCCATGCTTCAACTCAAGTGCGTATTCGCTCAGATTGCAAAGCACGTGATTCCAGTATCTCGCTTCACAACATGTCTGAAGTCTCAGCAACCCTTGTTCACAAGCTACTGATTTGTAGAACCTTGGGAACATCTCAGAATAAGTGAGGATTGCATTTCGTATCCATTTTCACTGTCAGTAGTTTGGGACGCCGTGGACACGAGCCCACCCTGCCACAAAATGCAGACATAAACACTTTTGCTAGAATTGACAAAATCTTCATCATCCAGCTCATAATTCTCCACACTCCCCAAGAACTACCAACGTTACTGAAATCCAAAGATTTTTGTCACCCGACTGTGTCTAGATATTAGCAACACTGCGTAGGATGCAGCATCTACCTTAGCAAACAAGGCTTGTGTTTATCAATCGTAAAATATCTGAGACGAAACTTAGATTCGTGAGTTTCTAATCAAAATGATGAGGAGGGGGGATTATACAAGTGGCCTCCGAGCAAAGCTCCAGCGTTCGTTATGTGACAAGCATCTTATGAATTCTGATTCTGCTGCATATCAGAGCTAAAATACAAATAGATGTGAGGCTAACTATTGTGCTCATTCTTGAGATACCACGCTCCGACAGCGGTGAAATTTGAGTCGTGGTCACAAGGATTTGGCGAGGCGAGTCGGGTTTTTCCATGGATTTATTGTTGTACAGGATTTGCTTCTGAAACTCCAAAACTTTTCAAACATCTTGTCGAAGCATTCGGAAGTAACTAGGATACGGAAACATCCACCTCATACCATCAATTCGATGGATCTGTTTATGAAATTCCTGTCTATATAGCAATCAGATGAACATTGGTCCTTTTTGGAAGTATGATTTTGAACCAATTATCAGTCTATTTAAATAGAAATCATGTTATTTTGGAGTGATTTTAAAAGTTATTTGTGCAAGTATTGGAGTGATTTTAAAAGTTACTTGCACAATTTTATAGAAGCTACCATTTAGTTTCTATGAATATTACGTTCAATATTTTCTTAAATTAAGAAAAGATTCTTATTGTAGTGAAATATTCTTAATTAAATTCCTATCCAAAAGAATTCAATTTTTGAAGATTTTGATAGAAGGAACTATTTGTGTACTTCACTCCATTGTAATGGAAAAGAAATTAGACAACAACCTTAGGAAGTTGATCTTTTTTTAAGATACATAGACCAATGCAATCTTAAGGTTTTGGTATATCACTATCTTTGTAGAGAAAAGATCTCTATGTTCTAAAAATATATTATTATAAGAAAGATCATATATAATCAATATTTCTATTAATTTGATATTTAGATTGATTTTTTTTCTAATTTGTAAAGTTTTAGGGTCTTTAAATAGATCTTAAATTATTTAGTAACCATTAGAGTTGAAAGTTGTAGCTTTGTAAGAATTAATATAGAAGTCAATAAATAAAAATCTTCAATCATACTAAAAAAAATCTATCTCAAATATTATGAAATAAAGCTAGAAGATTAAGCTTAAAAGATATATATATATATATATATATATATATTCAAATTTTGTCTATTTTTATTTATTTTTTAATTTTAAGAATTAATAATGAAATAAAATTATCATCTAAAATACAAATTCCAAATCCATTTTTCTTAAGAAATTAATTTAACATTCATTAATTCATAGCAAAGTAATTATTAAATATTTAGCATTCATTAATTAATAACAAAGTAATTATTTAATATTTGTCTAACAGACTTGTAAAGCCTTTCTAACCCATTCAATCAAGAAAGATTTTGTGGCTTTGTCTAGATTAATTAAACTAAGTTTTTTTTTGTATAAGACTTGCAACAAATCAAATATACTATTTTGAATCAATATAGAATCCTAATTCTAAATCTAAACCTAAATTCTAAATCTAAATATTAAATATTTAATAAATTAATTATGTTACTTCAATAAGTAGAATCAAGCCAAAAATAGAATCCAATAACTTATTATTATTGTAGATAGAAGTCTATGTCCAATCAAAGTCATTAGTCCACATAAATTTTGTGGAATTTTTAATTATCATTATATAATCGATTTAGACCAATTTAATTCTAAATGAGAGCCAAATTAAATTATTTCATGATTTTATAAAGCTTTGTATATTTTTCTTTTTTCCTTTTATAGTATTGGTAGAATCAACAACATAATAACATATAACTTATTGATTAAGTTCTACAAGATATTAATGCCATTTTTTTTATTCTTTGATCACATCTTAAATAATTACATTTAAAATTTTATTAATAAATATAAAGAGTAAGTGCCAAAAAACAACCTTGTCTTATACATTTTTCAATTGAATTTTTTTAAAATAAAAGAGTCACTTAAACCAAAAATTATCACAAATATAAATATTTACTTCTATAGTTATTTATATAATATGAATAAATAGAAATAGATAAAAGCAAATTAATTTGATAATATCTTATAGAAAAGCTTTTTAGAAACTTCGTAGATGTGGTTTCACTTTTATACATGTTTATAGGTGATTGGTAGGATGAATACTTAGCCAACAAATTAGGCAAGTATCACATGTGTTAATAGCTTGTGGTACAAGTTAATTAGATGGCATACATGTAGGAAACTTAATTTGTAAGTTAAGATACATGTCTTGAAAATTAGACACATGTTGGAGGTCTTGTAGAATGTTGCTACATAGCTCTTAATTAAATAGTGTACATAAAGATAAGTATGAAGTTTTTTTCACTCTTGTCAACTCTTTTCTTGCTTCTACTTTAGTTTCAAAGATTTCTAGTTTTCTTGTATTTTGGCAATAGCCATTCTAGTTTCTTCATTGAATATATATACTTTCTTATTTATATTTTTTCACCTTTCTTTGAAAAAATTTTCACTTGTTTATTTGCCTTCATTGAGTTCTTGTCTTTAAAAATAACTATTCTAGCATCTTAAAAACTTATTTCAATTATATATTAAACTTAGGGATGAAATGAGTATTCTCAAGAGACTTTATCATAAGCTTTGAATTAATCAATTTTTTTTTTAAAAAGCTATTCATTACATGATTTAGCTCAATTTATGGTTTCTTAAGTGACTTGCATATTATTCAAAATATATTATAGAAGAAGAAATGTTATTTGATTTAGATGAATCACTTCTATTAGCATAGAATAAAGACTTTTTGAATAATCTTAGCATAAATTTTATAAGAAGTATTGAAAATAGTGACAAAACACTAGTTTTTTAATAAAATTTTATTGCTTACTTCATACAAAAGTGTGATATGGCCTTTAGTTATACCTTAAGAGGAAAAATCTTTAGTTAAAGCCTAATTAATCATTGAAATATAATCTTCTCAAATATATGCCAAAATATTCAAAATAATTCATTTCTAAAATAATTAAGTCTAAATATCTAATTTTTGGCCATTTTAACTAATTTTTTTAAAAATTTAGTAAAATAAAAAAGAAAGTATTTTATTTATTTATTTGAGTAGTAAATTTGTATGGAATATTATATAAAACACTGAAAAAAACTTTTTTTTAATTCAAAAATATCCAATTATTTTTTGTATCATTGAGAATAAAAATTCAAAAAAATATCATCCACTTATTGTAGCTTTCTTTATAATATCACTTGAGAATTTTGTAGTTATGTAAAAAAGATCTTAGATAGTATGTTTTAATTTCTTTAATAAAATTCTTTGCATTGTTATCACCAAATTACTTCTACCATTTTTGAGCTTGAAGTTTTAGACATTCTTGTTTTCAATTTTTAAATTGATTGAGTTGGAATTAGATCTTTTTAAGTCTAAATTAGATATTGAAATCTTGATGGTTAACTTAAAGATGTAAGTGAGCTTCTTATAATTTTTTATAAAAATTTATATAGAATTTTGATTTTAAATCATATTTATTTTTTATAAAATAATTTACAAAAGAAAATAATTTTTTCCATTCAATGTAAAATAGATCTATTATAATTATATCAAAATTATATTTTTTTATATAATTTATAATTTAAATATTTTTAGGATTGAACACATTCATCTTGTAATTTGATTTTTATGATTTTGTTGTTTGAACTTGAAATGTATAATCAATTAGAAGATAATAGGATAATGCATTTTTTTAATTTGACATTCTTAGATTTGATATTCTAGTAATAAGTTTGTACTAGTTAAAAAAAAATTCTAATTTGACAAGGTCTTAGTTTCTTTTATTTTATTATTCTAAAAAAAGTTTAAAAAATGTCTATATTTAAAAGAATCAACAAGCATAAAATAAGTTTTAAATAGTTTCTAAGTATTCTATTTATCTCATGATAATAATATTCTTCAAAAATATGACTTATTATGCCTATTTTTTACTATGTTCTAATTTCCTTAAAAGATATAAAAGATATTTAATAAGAAAATATGTGCTAAGTCAATTTATATTTTATCATCTTTCTTAATATTTTTTAGAGGCATGTGAGTTTATAATATCAATAAATTCTCTCCAAATGTCATTTAAAGTAATCTAAAGAGTTTTTTTTTATGAATTAGAAGGCAAGCATTTTGCACAAAGTATTTAATAGAAGAAGAAATAAGAATATATATTCTACCAACTCTTGCATAGTTATGATAATTGATGCATGCCAGGGCCACTTCTAAAATAAAAAAAACATATGTTAGGATAATTAGTATTGCCTAGCTCTTGATTCATTATACTATAAAAAATATGTTCTTAAATTAAAAAGATATCACAACATAGAAAGAACTTTGACTATAAGCTTAGATTTTGATAACTTTAAATAGATTATTTAATCTAAAAATATTATAAAAAATATCTTTCAACTTCATATAATATTAAAAAAAAAGTTTGTACATCTTATTAATTAATAATTAATATTATTAAGACCAACAATGTTCTTAATCCTAGAATGATATGTCTTTTATTGAATTTCTTTTTATTCTATGGAAGTCAAGAAAAATAAGGTCTCTAATATTCTTTTATTTTTTAATAGTCCAAAAAATAATTAGAAGCAATATTATTAAGGTCAAAAGAAGGAT